ATATACATACATATACATACATATACATACATACATATACATACATATACATACATATACATACATATACATACATATACATACATATACATACATATACATACATATACATACATATACATACATATACATATACATATACATATACATATATATCTATATATATATATATATATATATATATATATATATATATATATATATATATATATATATATATATATATATATATATATATATATATATATATATATATTTATGTCTTTGCCTTCCTGCTTTTCACGAGGTGTTGCATTTAACGAGCTCAGTTTACTGGCAAAACAAAACACTCGACTTGCAGTGGCGTAGCTAGCGGTCCTGCTTGTCCTGCCCAGCAGGACTAAAAATTTCCCCAAATTTCCTTACTAAAACATTACTTTATTTATCTTGAAGCTTTAAAAATATATTATTATCATACTGTTATTTTGTATATTTTTCTCGTCTTTTTCGTTATTATTGTTCCGTATTCTATTACATTTACGCAATTTTACAGCTTGCCGTGTCTGTTACCTAGCAACTGCAACTCTATAAAAGCTCATTTCCGGGCAGTATATTGATTTACACGCGCTCATGTTTCGGTCCTGCCATTTTCAAATGGCAGGACTTGCTAGTATATTTCATAGTAAATTCATACAAGAAATCTTGGTTTCTGATTGGATAATTAGATCTGCGCATGCTCAAACCGGCTGTTTACAAATGCGAAGTACTGCTCTCTCGAAATGGCAGGACTTGGCCTTGTATTGTCTTTGCTTGCGAGCTTTCCGCGTGATTAAACCCACTTTTTACTAACTCTGTTAAGATTACTCAAGTGATGAATATGGAAATCAACCAGCGTGGAAGCCATTGTGATTTGGATATAATTTCTGGCTTCTGCTAAGATATTTTAGCTCACGAAATGCATGTCAACAGACTCGATCGTGTATTTTGTGTCGTATGCATTGCATTGTCGTATGCATTGCATGAAACGAGGCATGAAACACGAGCGCTTATGTGGAGTTTCAAAAAATGATATAGCTACCATTTAGATTTACACAGTTTATGTTATTTAATATATAGATATTTGGCCGCATTTTAATACACTATATTTACTTTAAACGCTACGGCAATTTTATTATATTTAAATACCATAGCCAGGCCCATAGGCATAGCGTACTGAATTATACAATCAGAGTACCAAGCGTAGTGGTCCGTAGTTGTTACCACTCTGTTTAATATGGTTTATTAAACATTACTAACAAACGCAGTAATTTTTTAACGAATGCTAGCCGTATATGTAATCATTGTAGTGTTGTATATTCAACAGGCACTACAACAATTGTTCAGTTATGCAATTGCACGTTCACCAAGTGAAAGATCATATTACAGACGTGTATTGAAAACATGATATTTTTCTCTTACACGACTTGACTATATTTAGCTAAATTTTTGATAAGTTGAAAAATATATAGTGAAACATGATAAATACGATTTCAAAAAGTGACAAATTTTTTTCTAAAAAAGTATCTAATTTTTTTATACTCCCTTTGGAGTATTTTGCCGTGAAATCGCAGGAAATGGCCATTCCAGACTTCTAAAATTAAAAATTTTCCGGGGGAGCATGCCCCCGGACCCCACTAGAATGTGTGAGTTTGCCTGTCAAATTTCGCTGACTACGCCACTGTCGACTTGGGATAATTTGGCAGTGAAATTGATTCACAGCCGCTTTATTTAAAATCTCGTCATTTAATTAGAAATATCATAAAATCATTAAAATTGATAATTTGAGTTAATAACTTGAGTCTGTTAATGTTCATTGCCAGTAAAGGTGGCAGGACTACACGCCAAAGACTACGCAATTGAAGTCAGTCGAACGTAAATCGCGGAGTCTCCCCACCCGAGGAAAACGCAACACCACTAGCAAAGAACATTTAATTTTAATAATGTTTTATAGCGAGTCAAAGTACACCGCAGTAACCCCTGTTAACTGTAGTGTAGGCCGATCGAAAGCAGTCGCCTCTGCGAAACCACTATGAGTAGTAGCATAATGTTGTAAATAGAGCCCTTCAATACTAAACATCTAACAGTCGCCCCTGCTGACTGTTGTTAACACAACCACTAAACATTTAACAGTCGCCCCTGCTAACTGTTGTTAACACACAGAAAGGAATAAAATAGTCAGAAATAACAGTTTAAGTGAATAATTACTAATGAACATTAATATATCTGGTGATCAAGAAGAGATGTCCGCCCCTGCTAGGCAGGCCCTCTGGACCACCAAATATACGATGCAACGGACCAAGCGACAACACCCCGCAACATTGTCGCCCGGTTTGGAAGGATTGTGTTACTCAGATAATGAAGCAGTCGTTGAAAGAGATGAAACTCGAATATACTTTTGAAATGCATTCGTTTTCCACCGACCTAGAAGACAAATCTGTGCATCGGAAAAACCATTCTCAGCAGCGAAAGATGCTGCACCGATTCGAAAAAAATGTGATTTGTAATGAGACGGACTTAGGTCACAGTATTTGAGGCAAGCAACAAGGTTAGCGGTAAAAACTTTTCTCAGCACCACGACGCCCTCCACTGTCATAAATACTGGACCCGGACTACAGCCACGATGATTTAAATATGTTGATAATAATTGTACAGGGCAAGGCGCTTGTTTGCCGGTTGATGACCATGGTAAATGGTCGCTGATTGTAGTTATGCTTGTAATCAGCAAATATTAATTTGTAACCAATCACTTCACCATCTCTTGAGAGTTTGGTGAGCTGGTTAACTGTATAGGGCAATTTCCCGGCTGTGATGTTGCGGTGATCTCACCCACGCGCAAAAATGCGAAGAATCCTAGAGCATAATACATCGCACGAAATTGGCACTGGTCGTAGTACGTAGCGACACAGTGTGGCACAGCCATTAATAATCGTTTAAAATCGTTAGCGTAATAGGCAACCTAGCGTCCAAACGAAAACCCTGTTTGCCATAGCCTTTCAACATTTGCACAATGTAAAATATTTTAGTGGGATCCATCAATCCCATTAATTTGTGGGTATAGCCGAGACGTAGGTGTTTGACAGTAGAGGGGTCGTAGCGCCGTCAAACATGTAGGCGATAAAAAGTGCTAATGCAGGAGGCGAAATTGGTAATTTATTTGAAAATGTTTGAACCAATTTCATTCTCATGTGTTTCAAACATTTTCATATAAATTACCAATTTTGCCTCCTACATTAGCACTTTTTATCGCCTACATGTTTGACCGGCGCTACGCCCCCTCTACTGTCAACACCTACGTCTCGGCTATTCCCACAAATTAATGGGATTGATGAATCCCACTAAAATATTTTACATTGTGCAAATGTTGAAAGGCTATGGCAAACAGGGTTTTCGTTTGGACGCTAGGTTGCCTATTACGCTAACGATTTTAAATCGATTAGTAATGGCTGTGCCACACTGTGTCGCTACGTACTACTACCAGTCCCAATTTCGTGCGATATGTGCTCTAGCATTCTTCGCATTTTTGCTCGTGGGTGAGATCACCGCAACATCACAGCCGGGCAATTGCCCTATACAGGTAAACCAGCTCACCAAACTCTCAAGAGATGGTGAAGTGATTGGTTACAAATTAATATTTGCTGATTACAAGCATAACTACAATCAGCAACCATTTACTATGGTCATCAACCGGCAAACAAGCGCTTGCCTTGTACAATTATTATCAACATATTTAAATCATCGTGGCTGTAGTCCGGGTCCAGTATTTATGACAGTGGAGGGCGTCGCGGTGCCAAGAAAAGTTTTTACTGCTAACCTTGTTGCTTGCCTCAAATACTGTGACCTAAGTCCGTCGCATTACAAATCACATTCGTTTCGAATCGGTGCAGCATCTTTCGCTGCTGAGAATGGTTTGTCCGATGCACAGACTCGTCTTCTAGGTCGGTGGAAAACGAATGCATTTCAAAAGTATATTCGAGTTTCATCTCTTTCAACGACTGCTTCATTATCTGAGTAACACAATCCTTCCAAACCGGGCGACAATGTCGCGGGGTGTTGTCGCTTGGTCCGTTGCATAGTATATTTGGTGGTCCAGAGGGCCTGTCTAGCAGGGGCGGACATCTCTTCTTGATCACCAGATATATTAATGTTCATTAGTAATTCACTTAAATTAAACTGTTATTTCTGACTATTTTATTCCTTTCTGTGTGTGAACAACAGTTAGCAGGGGCGACTGTTAAATGTTTAGTGGTTGTGTTAACAACAGTCAGAAGGGGGCGACTGTTAGATGTTTAGTATTGAAGGGCTCTATTTACAACATTCTGCTATTACTCATAATGGTTTCGCAGAGGCGACTGCTTTCGATCGGCCTACACTACAGTTAACAGGGGTTACTGCGGTGTATTTTGGCTCGCTATAAAACATTATGATAATTAAATGCTCTTTGCTAGTGGTGTTGCGTTTTCCTGGGATGGGGAGACTCCACGATTTACGTTCGACTGACTTCAATGGCGTAGTCTTTGGCGTGTAGTCCTGCCACCTTTACTGGCAATGAACATTAACAGACTCAAGTTATTAACTCAAATTATCAATTTTTATGATATTTCTAATTAAATGACGAGATTTTAAATAAAGCGGCTGTGAATCAATTTCACAGCCAAATTATCCCAAGTCGAGTGTTTTGTTTTGCCAGTAAACTGAGCTCGTTAAATGCAACACCTCGTGAAAAGCAGGAAGGCAAAGACATAAAATATATTTAACTCTTTCTCCCCTTTCCAGTTTAACAGAACATGATAATATGAATGTATTTGTCTTTCTTTGACATTAAGTTCGTTAATTGTCTTTTTCTGTTACTGACAACACATTTTTTTTCACATTGTAAAATATGGAGGCTTCCACAGTGAGAAACTCCATAAGCGTATCGTCATCAAGATTGTCAATGGTTTCTTCTGTGTTGGTTTGGCACTTGTAGATATTATGTAGTTGTTTCAGCTTGTCGTCGAACAGGAGCAAAGAGTCTGTTGAATCTGCTTTGCCAAACATGACATTTGCCATTAGACGCTGAATACATTTTGATTTTAGCTGGGCCATTCCGCACTCAGTGCATTTGGTAAGGTTTTTGTTGGATCGGGCACCAGTTTAGTTTGGCATTTTTTACACGACAGGAACCGTTGTACTGATAAAACGCCTTCGGGAGGGCAATCAAATTTCTGCGAGTGTGGTAGACCGCCTACTTCAGTGTCCACCCTCTCTATTGAGGTATCCGCTGGCTTGATAATCGACTGCTTGTTTAGGGTTAAGTACTTCGCGTTATCAAATTCTCGAACAACTATCTTTGAGATTTTATACACAGACTTTGAGATAACCCGTGTTATGTCACTTTCCCATAGCACAAGGCACATTGTCCCCGAATTGTCGGTAAATATGGCGGCTTCTTGTTTTCGGAGTGTCTTGCCTTTAGAAAGTATAGTCTCCTCCGCACCATGGAGGGTAATCCGCCTTCATACATTGATAACAGCATTGGCGTCGTCTTGCAACACATCTGAGACTGCAGTGATGCCGGGTTTGCATTTTTCTTCCGATTCTACCTTCTGTAATGTTGAAAGTCACCTCGGATTCTTGTGGGTCTTTCAACTTCGATCGCTTGTTGATGTGAATTTCATCCCGATTAGATCTTTGATTTCTCTTTAGCTGAAACTTAGAAATCTTAACCGGTGACAACGACTCGTACTTCAATGAGAAACCAGAGTGCTTTTCAGGGGAGAAACATACGGATCTATATGTTCCATTCTTTGTTTGCAATGTCATGTCAAAGTACATATTGTTTTTTTGGCTCTTTTTATGGGCGACTGATTGTGCAAGTATGCAATCATGGGTGTATCTGAAATATAGTAAATGTAATGGAATTATTTTCGAATAGTTTTAGTGATACAATGTACCTGTTACCATTTACACGGATATTTTCTTATTACCATCAGGGGCGGGTGGATTGTAATTGCTATCTGAGGATGAATGTTTACCAATAAAGATTATGTTGTACAAACAGTAAGGGAAACAGAGAAAACATTTGAATCGAGTTCCTGAAAACAAAATGCATAGAAAATTTTTTCACAGTTGACTAGTAAACTTCAGTGACGTAGATTGAAACTGTATAAAGAGTGCATCTTACTATCTTAGAAAAATATGTAGTATAACGGAAATATTGGCATATATATGTTAAGGGGTGCAATACTACATCTGTACAACTTGCAAAAGAAGTTAGTCTATTGCTTTAACAATTACCTACCTTCAGAGAATTTTCCACTTGGTTTGTGATCACCTGAAAGAAAAGTAAATACAATTTACTTTATGTAGCAGGGCTGAAACTTTAGTTGGTTAATTAGAGCTTTATTATGTGATAAAAATAAGCGAAGGCAAACACTTACCTTTAAGCAGAGAAGAGTCAATTGGCTTTGCAGGCCTTGTTGGCATCTTAAAAGGTATTGAGAATAGATGTTACACAGAGAAAAAACATAGTAAGTACAAGCATGTTTGTCAACTGGTTGTCTCTAAGAAGTATTGTCATACCAAGTGCGTTGTCCATGTCTTCTACAATTCTAAAAAGAGAATAAACTTTTAAACACAATATACACATTTGCAACACAATATACACAATTGGCACACAAAATAGTTCCTTGAGAACACAAGGAATTAGAGCACGATAAGGTTAGCAATTGCTTGAAGACGTTTTTCTTTATTCAACCTGTACTTCAGGGATTCAAGTTTTTTTTATGGAGGAAAGCCTATCATACGTCATTGGTTCAATTATTAATGAAGATAAATTGCGAGCTCGGCTTAATGCTACATAAGTCATTCCTAAAGTAGTTTCTTTATTGCTCACATCAATCCATGCTTTTTTCCAAGGTCATACCCTGACTTTTGTGAATTGTTAATGTCCACACAAGTGTTAAAGGTAATTGTTGTTTTTCATGTACACTATTACCCATACATACAGTTGCTGTGACTGGAGGTATGGGAACACAAAAAGGCATGTTTGAAAATGATGGACCACAATAATTATCAAATTTTACCAAAACAGCAATAGGCAAATCTGGTGGATTGTGACTTTCTGCAAATATTATATCAACAACAGTGCCAGTTGACCCATTACACAAGCCAACCATTGACCAAAGATTCATTGTCAACATTACTCTTGCTCCTCTACATATCAAAACAACTGGGTGCAAGCCAAGCATATCTTGGGCACTAACATGTTTTGCATCTTGACTGGACTGACAGGCATGGACTTCTGTAATTGCAGCATGTAACTTTAATAAATGATCATAGTTGTACTTTGCTACCTCTTCATTGCTGTAATACAATCTTGTAGCACCTAAGAAATCATCTACATTAGACGCAACACTTGGTTGATGGGTAAGCAGTAACTTCCAGTCATCAACACTTCTCCACTTCGAAGTCGTGACAAAATACCTTTAAATATAGTTTGATCTTCTTCACTACCTCTTACCCTTTGATTAACATTAAGTATTACAACATTTTGTATGCAAGATAACCTTGTTCACCTACTGGATTTGACGGTTTTTCATGGTATATTCACCATTTATTATATAAGCAAAAGTTGTTCTTTGGGTACATCACTGTTTTGATGATTAACAATAATATCATTGGCCAATTGTTGCTTTTCACAACTCTACTTCATACTCTCTACTTCATACTCTCTTTCTATAGTGGTGTATTCAGTCTTTTGCACCTTTATCCAGTTTATCATGGAAGCTATTTGCTCAGTTGTGTGCTTTGCAGATTCCAATTGCCAATTGTACGAGTTTTCACATTTTTCATGATTGTCATTAAGTTTATGACAAGTGGACAAAATCATCCATTCCTCTTGAACAAAACTTTCGTTCTCATTTTCACTATGAAACTCACCATCACTTTTTTGCACTACATTATCCAAGACATTTTCCAACTGTTTTCCCCAATTTGGAACGTATTTGGATGCAACTGGAGAATTCAGAAAGGCCAACCATGCATTCACATACACAGCATCTGAAGGTGTTTCATAGTCCCATGCATCATTTTGAGAGTTTTTCCAAGGCTTGTATTTCAGAAGCTGATATTTGCAATATAATGGATAGTACAATCTTTGGGGTTCGAGGAATAAGAGGTGAAAAATCGTGGAATTACGTTAGGTGATTGAGTAACAATTTTATTATTGACAAGTTTATATTGTGTAACAAATTGAGAAAAACTGATGTTTGTAATAAGTGGGAGATCATTCTGAAAGATTGCTCGTTTTGCATATTTGTCCAAAATAGAATCATTGGTGCAACTATTATTACTATCTTTAATTTGTCTTTTTACACTATGGGATCCATCTAAGTTCACTGGCAAGACCTGAAATGGAGAACTATGCAATTTCAATGAAAGCAGTAAATGCATGGTTTCTTGTGAACTAAAATCTCTTTCTCCAAGTGATTTTATCATTTTTTTCATTACCTTCAAAGGGTCTGTACTAGTTTTTAAGTTGTTAACAACAGCACTAAATGTGTTTTTCAATGTGTTGGACCTGGGTTCACCTTTTGCATCATATTTACACAAATATTCAACACAAAAGCATGGTAATCTAGTGTTACTTGCATATCACAATTGGCCCTCCAGCTAACAAGTTGAATTTTCTGATGAGTATTCAATCTAGGATCATTACTTGCTGTCACTGATATCTTTGTGTTGACGTGAACATGGATGAACATGTGGTTTACTCCACATTTCATTTTGGGGTGGACAAGGATTCCACATAGTAATAAGTGTTGACTTATTTACAAATAATCTTTGAAGCCTTTTTGCCGTCATCGATTTCAATTGAAAGAGATGAATTATCACAACCATTCTGGCATTTTCCGCAAGAAATCCTTTCAAAGCAATGTCAGTGAGCTTACAAAGCCCTGGATCAGATTTTAGTTTTGCAGCACCATGGCAATGAATACTACCTCTAGCTTGGAATTCATGCCAATGCCACTCAGCATCTAGTGTTTCATACAACCAATGTTTCAAGAATGATTCCAACCTTCTGGTAAAAAACCAATCAACTAAGTGAGGGTTATCAATAACATTTTTCTTTTCTCATCCATACTCAAGCTTTCAACATTTGAAGAGAAAAGAGAATGTAACTCAGGCCAGTATAAAAGATCAGCAGAGGAGAATGTAAAAAATATTGTTGGAGCACCTTTTGCCACTATAAGTGCTTTGAGGTCCTCCTTAACTTTAAACCAATATGCAGAGCTACCTGTAACATTTGCTACATACCTAGAGAGTTTGGACATAAAAGAGTTTGGACATAAAAGAGGTTGAACCGTTACTGCAAGCCATTTCCTGCAACTGTTCAAAAGTTAAATGTGACTCGTCAGGATTTTGCTCAAGAAAAATTGAATTCTGTTGCAGAGCACATTTTCTCTGGATCATATTTAGAGCCCAATATGAGAACCTAGGGTGTGAAGCAAACCTATATACCCATTTACCATCAATTTTCTCTGAATATTTCAAAAGATGTTGAATAATATTTTCAAAAGAAATGTCTCTTTGCAAACATGGATTTGTTGGGGGGTCACCCTTACCATCGGCGAAAAAGTGTAGGAAAAGCAAATGTCGCTAGAAAACCTGTTGTATACTCATTCAATGGTTGACTGTCAATTGAAGGCCAATCTACTTTTGAACATTCAAGACTGTTTTTTATTGCATCACTTTCAAGGTGGTCATTAGTAGACAATGGCAACAAACTACTGTTTTCTTTTTCATAATCAGCATCACCACCAGTTAAAATTGTATCTGTATCATGGCTATCAATTTCATCTGGGTCTTCTAATGTTTTAATTGTTGAGATACTAGATGGAACACCATTCCTTGGTAAAGATTCTAATACTTCTAGATCAATTAATACATTTTTATATTGTGGATTATGTTTTATTAACCAATGTAATGCTTGTTCAACTTTTTGTTTTCTTACAACAACATCTTTCAACGAGTTATCCTTTCCTTTCATTGTTACAACAATTATTGGAATATTCTTAGGACAATAGGGGAGTGATTGGGCTAATTCAGACACTTTCTGAGGTAGGTTTATACAATGTCCAGAGTACCCTCGTTGACTGCCTGGTTTTACATAGACTCTCATAATAGGAAGTGCTCTGGCAAATAACATCTTTTCAATTTGAGTTAAGCCCTGCAACTGATTGGGTACACCTGATGGTATCGTGTTATTCTCTAAAGAAAATTTTCTTGGAACTTGTTTGTCAGATTTGCATCTGCGACAAATGTCATTAACACAAGACTTTGGTATAATTTTAATTGGCCATGCTTCATGACAAACAGAACATTGCAGTATCACTAACGATGCATCACACCAATCTCCTACTTGATTCAAATTTTCTTGAAAAAGGACGCAATCGTTACTTGTAGAAATTTGACGATGAATAACACTATCGTTGACCTTTTCGCTGACGATAGTGTTATTCATCGTCAAATTTCTACAAGTAACGATTGCGTCCTTTTTCAAGAAAATTTGAATCAAGTAGGAGATTGGTGTGATGCATCGTTAGTCCAGTTGAAGAACGAAAAATGTCGAATTGTTCATGTCACAAGGCAAAAAAAACCTTTGAACTATGAGTATAATCTTGTTGGTATACCATTACAGAGTGTTGCACAACATAAACACCTAGGGGTTTGGTTACAATCCTCATTATCTTGGGAATATCACATTAGCTCTATCTGTGGACGAGCTAATCGGATCTTGGGTTTAATACGGAGAACATTTGGCTACAAAAATCGAAAAGGCGTTGAGGTTGCCTTTAAGTCCTTAGTAAGACCAATTTTAGAATATTGTTGCCAAGTATGGAATCCATACTTAATTAAACATGTAAATGCAATGGAAAAGATTCAACGGCGAGCTACCAGATTAATATGTGGCCCAGATCAACCCTATATGGAAAGACTAAAGAAGCTCAAGTGGCCGTCGCTTGAGTTGTGTAGAAAGTACCTTTGTCTTGTTCAGTTATATAAGATCATGTTTGGTTTGTGTGATATTGACAAATTTAAATATCTGGATATTGTGGGAGAATCTCGTACTAGATCAAGACATAGATATAAACTAAGACCAAAGCATGCACGTACCAATTACTTTAAGTTCTCGTTTTTCAATCGCTATATCTCAGACTGGAATTCTTTGCCATCGGATGTTGTGGAAGCCACTTCATTGTCCAGCTTTAAGCAAAAACTAATGTTGTTTCTACTCCTGAAACAATGTTAACTTATTCTATTCTATTTTTTTCGGGTTTTTATTATTATTTTGGTTTAACGTGGAGAGCAGTTCATAAATAGGAATTTAGTTTCCTCCTACTGCTATCCTCCCTATGACATTTGTTAGTGTGTATGTACGTCATTTTGTAATATTTATTATTAGTTTTTCTATTTTTGTTTATTAATAGGGAAAGATTTATTAAATCATTAAATTAAACTATGAAACTTGTTAATGTTTTCTTTGTACTTTTCTGAACCAAGAAAATTTGTATGATCTCTGTGCTGATTTGAGTTTTGTATTGTATGAACATGAGAGGCATTCACTTTCTCACAATTTGGAAAAAATTTAGGTGGCAACATTTTTTCTCTTTTACTATGGACTTTTAGCTCATTTTTTATTAACTTTTTTACAGGTGATGAACAAACAGTAGAAATCTTTCTTTTTAAAGAATGATTTATATTTTCACAAAACTTTTTGTCCAAAACTTGTCCATCTACTCCCCTCTTTAATTCAGAGGTCATTGTATCAGAGTTAGTACTTACATCAAGAACAACAACATTGTGCACACCAGACGTATGTTGAATGTATATTGAACATGTATTTTTTGGTGGAGAACTGTCAAGCATTGACTTAGAAAATTTATTCCATGTAAAATTACTACCAACATTACTATATACATAAATATCAGTACTAAGCAAAGAAGATGCAGCAAAGATTTCAATATCAGATCCCCACACTCTTTCCTGGGCCATTCCAGTAGATTGGATGTAATCATTCAAAGGCATGTTCATATGTGGTCGCAACAGGTTTTCAATGTCTCGCATATGACTCAGTATTTTTTGTCTCACCAAAAAGTGGTAAACTTGTCACCCAGTAATAACATATGAAAAAGCTCAAAACAAACAGTTTCCATCGCCTAGGATTTGGTGCAAATTAGTTGGCGTAGTTAAAAGCTTGGGTATCCTCTGTCTATGAGGTAAAACCAGTGGTAAATCTATTAAAGAACACATGTATCTCTGGGAGTTTTCATCAATTGGAATGAATGTGAATGGACAAGCCATGTTTGAAACAGGTTGTTCTTGATAACAATGCGATAATACTGTCACAAATTCAAAACGAGGCGTATTTGGACGCCAACAAAATGAGGCGTGGTGACACACCAAAACAGGATAGTGTAGAGTTACACCAAAAGCAGAATACACAATAGTGTAGTATTACACTCTGAAACAGGTTGTACTTGATGACAATGTGATAATACTGTCACAAATTCAAAATGAGGCGTATTTGGACACCAACAACACAAGGTGTGGTGACACACCAAAACAGAGAATAGTGTGGAGTTACACCAAAAACAGAATACACAGTAGTATAGAATTACACCAGAAAATGTTAGTGTAGAATGCCTCTTACAGGGTAGTAATCAAGCAATAGGTCCAAGCAAGTATAACAGCAAATTGTATACTACAATTATACATTATTAGCATGAAACACCATGTATATGCCTATAGATGTTATGGATAGATGTAAAATATGGAGATCAGACAACTACAGGTGGACAGAGGTTAGGAAAAAAAGGCAGATACGAATAGCAGATATTATAGAAGTATACGTGTGTCTTAATCTCCGACTGACTATATGACTGACTGGAAGCAACACCAATAAAAAGGGGAAAAAATGCAACAGTTTCTAACCTGTAGAAAACTAAACGCAAATATCAACGTTAAATGTTAGTAATAAACAAAGACATTACCTTTATGGAAGTAAAGTTTGGGTTTGAACATGCTAGAAAGATGTGTATCAAAACCCATGTGGAATCCGGTGAATGCGAACTGGACAAATTGTAAAATTGGAATAAAATAGGAATTATAAAATAGGAATAAAAACATATATTTCTATGCCTACAGTACCCTATTTAATATTAATTTAACCTTGAACACAAATCAGAATAATTCAGTCAGGCAATTTTAGACGATCAAGTGCATATCTGTGACTTTGTGTCAAGTTCACATGGGTCACAAGCGTCAAGCGGCAAAATATGGAAATCAGCAAGAGAAAGCAAACGCAAATGGATAGAAAAACCTTTTAAAGACATCTCTATGTATGACTTCCATGCTTTGCATGCTTTACAGTTATAACAGCTCAAGCAAAGTCGATAGCACATGCATTTATAGAAGAATATATAGTACACACAGAATCTAGCTGCGATCGACTGTGTGCTTTCGGCGTTTCATAGATATATAAATGACATTGCCAACTTTCCAAACAGGGGTAAACAAATATAAACGTAACATATAAACAACAGACAAAATATCTTACCTTGAATGGTCAAAATAAACTTGAAAAGCTTTAGAAACTTAATAAAAATTCGAAGATTCCGTCTGTCTTTATCGAAAAGCACATGGAACTGAAGTGAGTTTAAAATTTGTGTTCTGCGCATAGAAAGTGGGCACAACCACAATTCCTTGCGCTAAATAAAATTTACTTCAAAACCCCCTCTCTGCATATATTAGGTTGCTGCTACGCTCACTCGCTTCAGGCTCGCTCGCTCCGCAGCAACAAGATCTTGTAATAAGTTTTTACATGTCATTTATTCTGAAATTTTTTGCTGCAACATGCCGGGACAGCAAAATTGTAAGATATTGGCTTACATGCATATAATTTTGCTGAAATGTCTGCGCAAGATGTTCTAGACTCATATTAAGTAAGGGGCTCATCAAATGGACTAACCCATTCCCAAGCCATTCTTTTTCCAGGACTAAAAGCCAGGTACTTTGCCTTAGACTTTGGTGTAAGTTGCTAAAAATGAGAATGAAATTATTTTTTTAGGCATGCACCACAACTTGGTGGATAGTGATAAGTAGTATAGGTAATAGCACAGTTTTGAGTGCGATTTGGATATAACATGCACAAGTGAGTTTTTCAAAGACCTCAAAATAACACAAGTCTGAAGGATGAGCATTATTTGATGTCTTTGAAAAACTCACGAGTACATGTTTGTCCAAATTTCACGAGAAACCATCCTATTATTAAATCGTTCACATAAAAATGTTCGAGACAATTGTAGGTTTAACTTACGTTTTTGTGAACATTCTACTGGCAAAGTTTTCCTGCCTTTGTTATATCACATTATACAACACTAACAGCTTGAAACTTTTACATTATGTACCACTGCACCCATGTTTGTTTTGTTTTGAAGCAATCTGACTGTTATTCTTTAAACTAAACTCCTTTAAACTGATTTGTTGGTTTTATAATCACAATTTTTTCTACCAATTAAGATAAGTTTGTTACAGATTTTTGCACTGTGGTTACAGAGAATTGCACTGCTGTTTGGGATTAACTGCACTGAAATCAACCTATCACAGTCGAGTAATATTTTTATGTATATTATACAAGTAGTTAAGCAAATATAAAAAGATAACTTACACTACAGATATTGAAATATTGTGCAGTTTCTTCAGACGTTTCGTTTTTAGATTCATAATATTCTGAAAGATATTATATGTCATGACATGAAACGGGGGTTATTTAGAAACTCAGTGAAGTGGATATCCATCTAGCTAACAGTATGAAAAAGTGTATTGTACATCGGATTGCCTCAAATTAAACGATTAAAATATATTCACATGGTTTTGGTGAATTTTATCCTATCACACACAAAGAGGGTTTTGGTACACCCTTGTGCATTAGAGATCATTTATATAGACATACTCAAACTCTTAATGTATTTTTACCTTGAATGGCCAAATGCAACATGTTTTTGGATAAATCAACTGAAGAAAGAGGATTTTGTTCTTCCGCACTCCTTATTTCATCTGTTCTCCTTGGATTGTATTCATTTGGTTTTTCTCCTGTTTTTGCTGTTACTTAAGATAATTCAAAATAATATATTATACAATTACACTAAATTAAGTAAAACACTGTTGTTGTGTTGCCTGTGACGTTACTCTGAGTGTATATCCACACCAGGCAGGCTTGAAAAATATGCCTGGCCACAGTGGGAATCGACCCTACGACCTTTGGAATACTAGCCCAATGCTCTGCCTCTGTGTTATTGATACATGGGATGATTATTACTAAATCGCTGTGCTCGTTCGTATTGATTTTTTTACTCTTAATGATAAATTCAATTATATAGCAGATAGTAAGATACTGAAAATACACACAGTACAATATTTTTTGTTTCTTCACTTGTGAAGATATCGATCACATGACCATTTCTTGCCAAAAGACCTTTCCGGTAATTACATAACAACT